GCTCTGGGAGAACGAATTCATCGGCCCGTCGGGATTTTTTGATCGGATTTGGGTTAAGCGTTGGCTTACGCCGGGGCCGTTCGGCGCCTTGCGCGGCCTGCGCTGCCTCCGGGCCGAACCCAGACGGGGGGCTCCGCGGGGCTGCGGCAGCACCTTTCCCAGCCGCTGGCCGCGCCGCTCGGGTTCGTGTCCCGGCGGGAACGGTCGCTCCTTAAGCCAGCCGGGGTGAAAGGTGGGTTTGCTGCATCGCGGTGTCCCTGGCCTGGTGACCCCGGGGTCACGCCGCTCCCTCCGCGTCGCCCCGTGGCCAGTTTGCAGCAATAGCGGCAAAAAAGACGCGTGTGGATGGAGCCCTCGTGTGCCAGAGCGACTCGCGTGCCTTCGTGAAGTTGGAAGTTTTTTTTTCTTAACGCAACTTCTGGACCAGAACCTGCGAGTTGTCTCAAGCTGCTTTTGTAGTAGGATAAAAGCCCTGTCCAACTCCTTTTATCGAGCTCAGAAGAAAGCAGATTTTGACGGGTTTTCTTAAGTGTGCAGTCCGTCCCTACTTCAGTTTTATGACGTGCTTTTTCCCTGGCCGTCGACACAGTCCCCTTTCCCGGCCGGGGCTGCTCTCGAGGCGCTCTCCCCTGGGGTGGCAGCACCCAGGGCCGGCCGTGCCCCGCGCAGGGGAGCGAGAGCTCACGAGAGCGGTTCCCGCAGGGGCCCGGCTCCCAGCAGCCACTGGAAATCCGCTTATGTCTGTTAAAGTTTGAGGTAACGGGTCGGGGGCTCCTCTATCAGTCTCGGGGATTGCCTGAGCTTGAAGGAGTTACTTTCTTCTTACACTTTGAAAAAAATATGAGTAACTGCTTAATTTTAATACCACAGGGAAACAATTAATCTCTTGTAAAACCTGTGCTGGCTTGAAAGCACCAGATCAAGGCTCCTGGTTTAGGCTTGTCCTAAGTTGTTATTGTGGGTGAAAGCTCAGGGCTGAGGGCTCGGACAGAGGGGCTGCTGCTGCAGACCGGGCTCTGCCGTGTGCTCCGTGGTGCTCCAGCAGATGACTGTTCCATATGTTAATGCGGTTTATAAATTGTGCTAATGAAAATCCTGCGAGTGTGTGGGTGTGTGAAATGCTGAAAAATTCCCTGGTTCTTCAGAAAGTGGGCTGTTAGGAACCTGCAAACTTAGTTTAAAGCACTACGTAGGTACGCTGAGGAATAAGATATGCAGTGTCCTTAGCGGGTAAGGCAAGCCTGATGGCAGGTTTTGTACCACAGCTCGTTATAGAACTCATAATATTTTTTGACACAAAAAAAAAAAACAAACCAGCAGCGATGGAAGCTTTTTTTCCTCCAGTGTTACCAAGTGGTGGAGCTGAAATGGTGGCTCAGAGCTGACCCTTGCTGGTGCAGCCGGAGGTGACGCTAGGGTTGAGGTGGCGCTCGGGGCCGTGGTTCTAGGTCTCGGGCCCAGGAAGCAGCGGGCGAACGGCAGCGTGGAGATGCAGCAGGGTGAGCACTTGAGTTGTTTCATCAGTTGCAGAGAACAGTAGGAATCTTTCACATATGACATGGTTTTCAGGGTGACTTGTGATTTGAATTAACAAGGGATGGGCTTTTCCCTCCCATTTTTCTCTTGGCGTACACAAGTTCCATTCTTAATCAGTTTTTGGGACGTGAGTTCTGTCTGCTCTGCCCCAGCCCCTGTCAAACCAGCTTCCACAGGAGATCTCAGAAATAACAAGTTCTCTAGACTTTTGTGAAAACAGACCAGGAGAAGACAAGGAACTCTAGCTATACCCCTACTGAGAGGAAAAAGAGCTTTTGTTAGAAACTGGAGGATCCCCACTAGGAAGAGGTGCTGGCTCCAGAAAACCTCTCCCCGCAGCAGCCGGGCTGCCTGGTACCCTCTTCTTCTTTGTCCTGGCATGCTTGTGGTACACAGCCCCATGAGCGGATCTGCCATGTTGGCTGCACATAAACAGCATCTGTTCCTTTTTCGATTTTACTAAATGGAGTTTCCCATGTTAAATTCAGGTTCAAAATCTCTAGCCTTGGACCTGTGCCTTTAAATAAATAAAGCCAGATCCTGTACCGACTTAGCGCCTTTCTTCTTCCTCTTTTTTCATGTGCTTTATGGTAGCGTTTCTCTGTAGAGCTGAACCTCCCTGTAGTTCTACTTTACTTCAAGAATGAAGTACAAAACCTCCTCTGACACAGTCCCTGTGGTGGTTGCGTTAACCCCCGGGATGGGGCTGGTTTGGGTGTGAGCTGGGGATGTGCTGCGACGCTGCCTATGGGAGAGGAGGACGGTGGGCAGTGCCCAAGTTATTTCAGCCTGTAGTTTAGCCTAAACCCGTGTCTAAGGGAGCAGTCATTAGGCCACCAGTTGAATTATTTTTATTTTTTTTTTCTGGTGAGGTGTGTGTTGCCTTGCTCATCTTGCACGTTCCCCCTAAGGAGAGCGGTGTTGCTCGATGGCTGCAGTGCTTTATTTGATTTTAGCCCAAATGCCCTTCGCATCATCTGAGGAAAAACCTTCTGACCTGTGATTAGATGCTGGCTCTTGAGATTTTTTTGGGAGGGTATGAATGGACTCCCAGCAAAACTCTGCTTGAAGCCTTACACAGCCATCTTTCAGGGCCACATAAAGCACCAAGAAGTAATTCTCCCGCCGATGCAGCCGCCCCTGCAGCGTTCTCCGGTCGCTGCGTGAGGCGGTGCCAGGCTCCCCGAGAGCGTTGGAGCAGGGTCGGTCAGGGAAGGGTTTGCCAGCTGGGGCCGAGTGCTCACGGCTGGGCCAAGGGGGGGTGTCGCTGTCCTGCTTTTGCTGAGGGGAACGGAGGAAGGTGCGGGTTCGTTTGAGACACAGACCTACTTACGCTGCCTTATGCGACGTTTCTCAAGCTACTCTCAATGCAACTTGGAGCTCTTTTTGTTTCCATGCGTGTGTTTCCCCCGGAGCTGTTCCTTGGGCCCAGCTGACTACACCTGGCTGCTCCAAGCACTTTGGTGCCTTCAGGGTCGGGCGCTGAGAACGAGATTTATTTGCTAGCTGGAGATGTAAGCGCTCGGCCCTGGGCCCAGCTGAGCTGATGCCAACAATAACTTGGATTTAGTCCTTTTTTATCGTAAAATGTAAAAGCTGCCTTCGCGGAGTTGTACTACTTCCTCCTCGCTCGTTCTGCAGGTTCCGAGGGGTGGTCTGGGGGTTGGGAGACACGAGGCTACGACGTGCGGGTGGGACCTGTCCGTGCGAGGGCTGGCTGTGTGCCGGCGGCTCCGCGGGGCACTGCTTACGTCCCACCCTGCTCTTTTGGGGGTGGAAGTGGACGGTTTCAGACACCGAGCCGAGAGGGCTGCAGAGCTCTGTCCCTTCATGGTACAAGCTACAGCACGTGCTCTGAAAGGGACTTCTAGTAAGAAATACTGCAAGGAACGGTGTTTGCCACAAGATGGGATCAGGAGAGAGACTAAGGATGTCAGTCTTTCTCGCAAGAACTGCTGATTTAGAAGTTTCTAGGTGAAAAGGCCCAGAATTATCCTGAAAGTGATTCCCTCCTTTCCACAAGAAGGGAAAGCAGTTCTGGTGACCTCTCCATCTGGCCCCAAAGGGTTTGAAGGGGTCTTTGCTGCTGACGTCTGCTGTCCTCCAACACGTGCCCTTTTTGTTGTGTAACCCAAGACAAAAAAGTCATTAAGAGCTTCCCATCAGGCCTGCTCAGCTACCAGCTGAAGGAAGGAAATTAAGTAACTAGCTCTAACCTGGATTTAGGCTTTTGAGGGATTTAGCAGTATTTTTTTTGGTTTATGTCTTTTAATTTAGATTAAACCTTTTCCAGCTAGTGTAAACTTTACAAGTTCCCAGCGTGCTTGCCTTCCTTGACTAATTTAAAAGACAGTTATCTGAGGTATCTCTTGGTAGCTGAGGGAGAAAGCTCCAACGCAGCCTTTGCTGTGTGTTTCTTGGGGAGAACGTGTCCCAGCAGGACGGTGATCTCCTCCAGAATGACCTGTGGTCGATGTGGGGGTGATTATCTGACCCACACGGAAATACCGTGGCATGCTGCAGGCTGCCCCAGCTTCCTTCGGAGCCTGGGCAGCGCTGGTGGAACCTCCTGCGAGCCCTGGGTCGAAGGGTGTGTTGCCTGGTACAAACATGCAGAACAACTCCAACATGCCGTAATTAAAACTTGAAACGGTCGTATAAGCTTCAGGATGTGTTTTGAGGCAGCGTTTGCTGAAGTAAAAAACCTTCCCAGTTTTTCCTTCATCAAACTACCTTGGCAAGGAAGCAGCGTAAGCTTTAAGTTAAGGGGAAAAGACCCCCAAAGTAAGCCATTTCTTTAAGCGGCAGAATTTTTTCTGCATGAATTTCTTGGTGTCTTACATTGTGGTTGTGTTCACATTCTTCACGATGATCCTCTGATAAGGACACTTCCATGGAATAGCTGCATCTTTTCACAATTTCTTTCTAAAAAAGCAGAAACTTGTCCTCATGTTTTCTAGCCCTCTTTCAGATTTAGCTGAAGTTGGCCGACCAATTCAAATGTGACGGGGTCAAAGGGAGCCATTGCTTTGTTCTGATGTGCAATCTGCTTGAATGCTGCATTCAAAAGTTGGTTGTTTTTTTTTAAAAATCATTTAGCAAGGGACATTTGTTCTCAATTTCTCCTTTTTTTATTCTCTCCAGGAAGTGATGTCAAGTGAAAGTTCAGCATATGAGGCAGTGTGATGGTGAAAAACATTTTTCTTCTGACTTTGTGCTGTCCTGTTTTGCTTGAGAAAAAGGCACATGCTCTTAATTATCATGGGGTGTGCTGGGTTTTATATGGAACTGTAAAATGGAAAAAGCTGCAGTGGAGAACAGGACATATGGTTTCTTATTTATGGAAAGCTCTGCCTTCATTAGTTTATTAGCATATTTTTTTTTTCCCCTAATTTGTACCACATTTGGTTTTGGGGATGGGGATGTCACGTTTGTGCAGCTTGGGAGGGATGTGCCGCGTTCACGCGTAGCCCCTTTATCTTGCCAGTCCATCTACCGGTCCTTGTAAACTTGAGAATGTTTTTTAGATGTTTCTTGGCTAGTCTTTATCTTTTTAATCATAAATCAACATATAGGCCACCTTAGCAAGCTTTGCAGATGTTACTTGTTTAAGAGATCTGGCTTGAAAGCCTGCGGCGTGTCCCCGCGAGGCGCTGACATGCGTGCCGTTCGCAGCCGGAGAACGCCGGAGGAGAGCTCAAGGATGGGCAGCACCGCTACGAGGGAGCCGTCGTCATACTGGATGCCGGGGCGCAGTACGGGAAGGTCATCGACCGCCGGGTGCGAGAGCTCTTCGTCCAGTCCGAGGTCTTCCCCCTGGAAACGCCAGCCTTCGCCATCAGAGAGCAAGGCTTTCGGTAGGTGTCCCCGCCGTCCCTCTGCCTGCGCGTTCTGCGCCTCCGCCTGTTCCAGCGGCCCCGGAGGGGGTGGGCGGCCGTGGGAATTGCCTCGGGTGTGTGTGCGCTCGCTTTCGTTGTAGTGGGGTTCACGATTGCATCTTCAGCCTCCCCACAGCAGCACCTGAGTGTCGCTGGGGACGCTCGCACGGAGTCTGGTGTATTTGTTTCTCAGTGCCTTAATGTCATTGTAATCGTTTCCATTTGTAAGTATAGTTTAAGAAGTTGCTTTTTCAATATGTATCTGCAAAAAATTTAGATGATCTTGCTGTTTTACCTGTTAAACTAGGGCAGCTGTTAATCAAGAAGACAAGTCTGGTGAGTTTCTAAAAATCTCTTTCTTGGTTTGATTTAAAAAAAAATAAATTGGATACTGAAGCTATTGTGGTAAATAATGCCAAACTGTTTCTGGGAAGCAACTAAAAAAACTCACTGAAACTACCACTCATTGTTTGGAGCAAGAAAAGGTCTCTCAATTATAATATTTAGTACTTTGCACATTTCCTTTTCTTGTTTTAGGCTTACCACGGCGTGCTTTTCTTTTGTGGGGGGAAAAGTAAATACCCCGAAGTCTACAAATTGTCAAAGATCTTAGTTGAGTACAAATCCAGAAATAAGCTGCATGTGAGCTGCTTGGTTGTGCCTGACAGCAGATACAACAGCTCTTTGCTGTGAAATTGCATTTTTCTAATCAATGATAATTAGCGAACCAGTAAACAGTATATTTTAGTAAGTCAAATAGGAACTTATTGATCTCTTCCTAAACACAGAGAACAGAAAACTTAGGAACTGCTGGATCTGTCAGGTGGCTGTTGTGTGAAGAATTTCTCTTTCCGAAATGTTCTGAAAAATACCTTCTCTTGTCAGACGTTGTTTATAATTCTCTAACAGTCAAGCCTTTAAAAGATGGACATACCTAACTACTGGTTTAAAAAGAGTTCCTGCATCTCCTGTGTGCTGGATTTGAGGTGTGGGTCGTAGTACTAATGACGTTTTGTCTCAGACCTGTGCTGTATTGATGCAGGTTTGTAGTGGGAAGACCTTTTCCCCCTTTCTTTTGACAGCTGAACATTTTTCAGTCTCGTGATTAGACCTGTTGGACTTGTCATTCCAAATAATTGCTGTCTAAAATGTGGCAACACCTCCTCTTCATTCACAAGGTCACTTCTCAAGGTTAAGGGAGTGATTTCTGGTTACCGGTTACCCAGATGGATCAATCAGGTGTGTGTCCACAGCCTCAGTCAAACATTGGCATCCAGGAAAGCTCAACAAATACTGATGTCAGCCATTGGGTGCTTCTGATCAGTGACCAGGGGTTCATGGCTTTGCTGCAAGACTTTGATAGATATTCCACACCATGGGAATAGTCAGGTTTCCATGTTGCAGCTCGTGCATTGACGGGCCGAGGAGCCGTGCTTTGGTCTGTGCTAAGGCTTGAGACAGGCAGCAAGGTTGAACACTTTGCTAAACTTTATTCACATGTTGTGTTTAAAGAGCCAGCTCCTCAATGTCCAGCATTTCAGAGCAATCTCTAGAGACGAGTTCCATCTAAATATGACAGACATCAGCAGTTTCCACAAGATCCTGGGCCATGGAGGTGCCACAGTCGGGGTCTGCACCGGTGTTGAGCCGAATTCTGGCCCTGTCTGAGCTCAGGTGCGGGTCCTGAGGTCGGGGTATCAATGCATGCATTTTACTGTTGGTATTTTTATGTGGTTCCCAATGTGCCTTTAATCCTTTGCAAACAAACAGGCTTTCCAAAGCTGGGTCAGGTTGGTTGGAAGTGGTTTAAGGTAAACCAGAAAAATGTATATTCATACCAATGCAAGAAGGTATGTAAGAAATGACAAGCTATTGCAGTAAAACTGTCAAAATCTACATCCCGTGCTAGTTTTAATGTCTCCTGGACAGTTGAGAAGATGCAGGTTCCTCTTTCACCCTCAGCTCATAATTTTAATCTTTAATACTTGGACACATTTGGCTAACCTTTCTGTATTCTGTGGAATCTTAGTTGGTATGGAAAAAAGCAGCTTTTTCAGACTCTACCGTTTGAATAGGACAGTGCATAACTATTGACTTCTTGTAAGAAGGTTCAATTTGTAGGCGTGGCTATACGTCATTTAATTCGTATTAAATAGTGTTCTGTACGTATGGCCCCTACGCAAATCTTGCTGTAGGTGGGGTTATAGAAGCAGCATTGCCACCAGGCGTTAAGGGGTTTCAGGCTCTTTCTGGCAACATCTGAATTTAGGCAATTCATCAGGTCTCTGACTTGAACAGAAGTGCCTGTACACGTACAGCGGGGACTAGTTGGCAAGTTTGTTCGGTGTAAGCTGCACCTGGGTCAGCCGTATGCTCGTTCCAAAGCTCACTTGTCCATCCTGATGTACAAAGAAACAAATGCTGCCTCTTCCAGCTCGCAAGCTTGCGGCACTTTGGCTCCAAGGGGAGCCCCCACCCAGCCCCCTGCCTCGTCCCCTGCATTGGAACGGAGGGCTGGGGGAGTGGAGGTGGGCTGCAGGGAGGGCTAGCTGTGCCCGGGGGGGGGCACGCACCCTGCCTGCTTCGGAGGTGGCCTTTGGTGGGTGGGCTTGGGGCTGCAGGGTTGTTTCTGCTGGTGGTCAAGGTGGTGCAAGAGCACTGTCTGCTTCTGCTGCTTAAAAATAGACAAATTCTATTTTGTCCGTACTTGCGTGACAACTGCTCTGAATAATGCTGGGAGAAAGCTTTGTTAGGTGTGTTTAATCCTGTGTGTGCCACTTTCTCTCTTTGTGGAATAAACAGTCCACGAGTCCAAGGTCTGGTACAGCCGTGTGCCATCCTGGGCCGGGGCCAAACAGCATTGCTCAGCTGGCTGGTTCTTCTGTAGTTCACGATTTTGCAAATCATCGTGGTTTGCAAAGGTCTCCCTTCCCTTTTGGAAAGGTGTAATTTTCTGTTATAATGTCAAGTATTAGCTTCAAATGCTCACATGTATGGGACTTGTAATTCGCACCCTGTGGCTAATGCCATCGCACTTGGTAATCGGGGGGATGAAGGGACGTTTTTTTCAGCAGCTCCAGATATTTTGGAGTCTTTTTTTCTCCTGAATGCAGCTCCTCTCCAGACGGCACCGACATCATGAAGTGTGTATATCTATATCTTAACGCTAATACTCTGCATTTGATCCTAACCATCTTGCTTCTCTTGTAGTTGACACTCGGCTATGAGGAATTTCAAGTACAGTCACTGTTTAAAATGGTTTATATTTGACTTTGTTTAAACTGATGAAATACCTCTGTAGCACAGCAAAGTGAAGCTCTATGTTAGGGTATCTGTGAAAATTTCTATTAGGATATATCGAGTTCTAAGGGTATTATGAGACAACGCCTGTGTTTAAAGCAAATAGATTTTTAAAGCAAACAATACATTTGAGTTAATGTTTTCTTTATCTTTTGTCTGCAGAGCTATCATTATATCTGGAGGACCAAACTCTGTGTATGCAGAAGATGCCCCATGGTTTGACCCAGCAATATTTACAATAGGAAAACCAGTTCTTGGAATCTGCTATGGCATGCAGGTGCAGTTGAGAGAGATGTTTATCTACAGCTGTCTCCCAGGCCTTATTTCTGATACTAACTGAAGATGAACTGCTAAAGGACCTGCTTTTCAAATATAAGCAGTGTGCCATGTATGCAAAAGATATTTTTGAAGTGCTAATTGGTACACTGAGCATACTGTGTATTCTGCTCTTGGCTCTGCCGTACCAGTAGCATAAATGGTTTCTCTTTGCTTAACTGCTGTGAATTGAGTTCCACGCTGCCTTTTTTTTTTGTCACCATAAATGTACCCTGCCAGTCGTTAACTAATCTTCTCTAGTTGGTATTGGAAAACGTGCCCCTCGTGTAAAAAAGTGAAAGAGTTTCTCCCTTTTGGTTTTCAAGTGTGGAATGTTTCTAGCGTTGTTCTTAAGAGTGCTTAAACCCTCCTGCCAACAAAACACTCATTTGCCTTAGGACTGAGTGGTGATCCCCCAGTGATCTAGTAGATCTGAGCTGAGTGAAGAAACAGACTTCCAGGGAGACAAGGACTGGAGTAGATACATGATTTCTGCTTGTGCATCGTGTTTTTTTTCCAGGGTTAGTTATTTGTTAGGCCTTCAAAGGTGCTGAATAATGGCTGGGAAAACTTGAGACAGGCAGGTGATTAACAGAAACAATATTGGCACTCCCTGTTCTAAAGGGAAATGTGTGTTTATATTAAAATGTGCCTTAAAACGCTGAGCAAATTGAAAACCACACTAGTTAGCCTCAAGCAGGGAAGTTCCTTAAGGCTGACTTTACAGAAATGAATCAAGTGTGTGTATTAATGCACTACTACTTCATTAAGAAAGATTGAAATCAGTCAAGCACAGTAAGTATAATAATCTAACTAGGTCTAATATGAAGCCTTAAATCTCTGCAAGTTGAAGTAGCTGGAAGGTGAAACTCCAAAAATATTTGTGAAGTTGCCAGTTATATTTGCAAGGAAGTCTTTATTTTGAGACACATGAAATCTAAAACGCAGATACAGGACTCTGAACACCAAGGTGAGTTTTAGAAAGAAAAAACCTGGCTGAGAATTGTACTACTCTGATATAGCAAGGATTATTAAGAGTCACAAAAACAACACTAAGGGAATAGACTCAAGTTTTTAACTGGTTCTCCAGAGCAGAGGAGCCAGAGTTTGAGAAGTTTAGGCCTGTCGGAGGGCCCTTAACTAAAGAACAGATAAATCAGATTTTTGTGCAGCGCCTTAACTGTGTTTATGATAACTGGCCCCAGATACTCAGCTGATTTGCAGAGCAGCTGTTTGTAAGTGCAAGTAGATGTACACTATTGAATATGCATTATTTTGCATATTACTTTGTTGTGTGCAGCAGCAGTTCCCAGCTATGCTGGCAGAAGGCAGCAAACCCATTACAGAACAATGGTAATTCTGAAGAGAATTCTTACCATTTTGTAAAACGATGCTATTAAATGAGTATAATCATGAAAACCTAGGTCGGTATGTGTTGGAGGGCTAGGGCTATTGTCAGTCATAGGCAGCCTGAGGTATAAAGTGGTACTAGATTGTGTGGCGCTTTTTCATGTCGTGTTTTTGTTTTGGCAGATGATGAATAAGGTATTTGGAGGTACGGTGCACAAGAAGAGTGTTCGAGAGGATGGAGTGTTCAACATCACTCTGGATAACACGTGTTCGCTGTTCAGGTGCATAGACATTTTAAGTTCTCGGAACAATGATGGAAATACTAGTCTGGAAATGGGTGTCTGCGTGAGAGGAAGGTTATTTAAAAAAAAACCCAGTGAGATTGCACCTATGCTTATCTGATAATTTCTCATAAAACTCCTGCAGCTGTGTTCCTGAGTAAGCAAGTTGCTCCTTTAAACAAATACTTAGGCATAACTTCTCGAGTGTAGAAATGCAGGTGTATTTGCTTGGAAATCCGTGTAAACTGTTTATTTCAAAGTAGAACATCTTCACTGAGACACCATAAAGTGTGCCACAACATGAGAACCTTTGTGTTAAGCTCTTGTCATCTTCTGCTGTGCAGTGCATTGCTCTTGTATTGGTTGGCACGCATCCAGTTTTTGAAAGGTAATAGAAAGTCTGAAACCATTCATTTTCTACCTTCCTTTAAAATTGCTTTGGGATATTTTATAAAACCAGAAGTAGATTTCTTGGTAGTTTGTCAATGTCTCTCAAGTTCCTTGTAACAGTTCTAACGGTTTGCTCATACCTGGCGTTACAGCTTTTATTAACTTTCCGCTGTAAGGCTACTGCAGAACTTTATACCCTGCCTAAAAGTTCTCACGTTGTCCTGAGAACACTTAATTTGACCAAGAAAACTTCACTTCATTGAAATAAAAGGCAGGACTCCCAAGTATCCCGATTGACTCTAGATGGCTCTATGTGTCAGAGAGAGAATAATTTAATGTTGGCATGGTTATAAAAAAACCCCCACCCTTTTAAATTAAGATAAATTACCTCTTGCATGAAGGGTGTATTGTACAAGAACTTACGCAGCTTCCAATGGAGATCTCTCCGAGTTGGAGGGCGCTGTTTCTGGGAAGTAAATCCTGCATATATTTCAAACAGGCCTGGTCAACCGAGACGTGCTTTTATGGGGATCCTTACAGGCTCTTGGAAATGCAGGTAATTAGGTCTTTGTTCTTTTTTTAAACTGATTGTAGTTTTTAATCTTTTGTTTAGGGGCCTTCAGAAGGAAGAGCTTGTGCTCCTCACTCATGGAGACAGCGTGGATAAAGTAGCTGATGGATTCAAAGTGGTTGCACAGTCTGGGAACATTATAGCAGGTATTTATTTTATGCTGAAATTGTCTTTGATAGTATTCATTAGAGGAAAAAATATGGCAGACAGAACCAAATGGGAACAAACTATCCCTGTTATTTAATTGCCAAGTGAGTGAACTGTCTAACAATTTCTGCTATGTGTTTGCTTGCATGTTGTGCTGTCTTGATAATAAAGAGACAAATAGACATGGAAGTGAATGGTCTTGGTTTTAAATTGGTGGTTTAAGGAAAAATTAACTTCATGGTTTACGTTCTTTCAAAGGATGTAATAAACTACTGTGTGCCCTTAAGCCAGGGGAGTGGAAGATGTGTGCAGTATAAGTGGTGTTTGGTTTTTGCACAGTACAAGTCAAGAATCGCAGAAGCCCAGGTTGGAAGGGACCTCAAGGATCATCTGGTCCAACCTTTCTTGGCAACAGCCGGGTCTAGCCAAGCTGGACCAGCCCCTGTCCAGCTGAATCTTAGACGTGTCCGGGGTTGGGGAGCCCACCGCTGCCCTGGGGAGATCATTCCAGTGGTTGATTGTTTTCAGCATGAAACATTTTCCTCGTGTCCCATGGGAGTCTCCCCAGGAGACTTGTACCCGTCACCCCTCGTCTTCCCCCGTGACCCCTTGCACAGAGGGACTCTCCGTCTCCTCTGCAGCCGCCCTTCAAACAGCGGCACGTGGCGAGAAGGTCTCCCCTCAGCCTCCTCCTCTCGAGGCCGAGCAAACCTCGTTCTCTCAGCCTTTCCTCACGCGCCTGCCCAGGCCTTTGATCGTCCTTGGGGCCCTTCTCTGGACCCTCTCCAGCCCGGCCACATTTTTGTGTAGCAGGGACCAAAACTGAACACAGTCAAACGCTGTTTAATTATTAAAGCTTGATTAACTTGCTATTGTATTTAGTATTATTGCATGAATGTTCAGCTGAGCAAAAATAATGTTGGTACTGAAAGCAGCGTTTCAGATATTACGCACAGGCAGTCACAGAAAAATGTAGGAGCTTAGAATTTGGTTTCTGAAAGCTCCTCAAATTACTGAATGCCAAACAGCTTCTCGGAGTCTCTTTCCTAGGAGATGGGAGACCTGGAGAGGTCTTAAGTTTGCTGAGCCACTTAGTAAGATCTCAGATCATTCACCTGGTTTATTTTAAATGTTTCATTAAACAAAAAAAAAAAAAAAAAAGCTTAAGATACTGCTTTTAAATCATACAGGTAAATAATTTGAGAAAAATTGACCTTTTAAAAGACTTAAAGATGTTGTGTTACAGAAAGATTCTTTCCAAACTACTGTTAAGATTAGACAGAGCATTCTCTGTATTCTGGCTTGCCTTTGAAGCCATCGAGAACTCATGCCTACAACAAAAATACATTTTTTTGCTGTGTAAAGTTTGCTGCATCCATTGTGCAAGCTCCACCAGAGCTCTGATATCTTTAATCCCACTTTGTGGAGGGGTTAGAAACAAGAGTTGTACCTTTCCGATCTGGAACGCTTTCCCGTGGGCTCTTACAAAAGCCTGAGGCTCCCTTGTGTGTAAACGAAGAAGCGGTGGTAAGGTGGTACCAGGCTTCCAGCAGCAGAAAAAAAAAATACAGTGATCATTTGTTAACCCCAATTGTTAATCCCAGCCTGACCAACACTTCCCTGGTGCAAGTGGAGTGCCGGATCTACTCGCAGGAGCCCTCCTGAGAGCGCTGAGGAGCAGAGTGGTGGTGCTGCCCGTGCACAGCCCGTCCAGCGGGGGCTGTAGGGGGGATCCTGTGGGGAGAAAAAAAATTCACTTCATTGACTTCCTCTTCTCACAAGGGTTTTCCAAGGATGTCTGAGTGTTGTCCCTGGTTTCTGAGGGATTGCGTGTTCTGGATCCGTAGCAGTTACCCTCGTTCCTAATCTTAACCAGAATCTTTAGTTTTGATTGGTGATTTGTGCCAGAATGTGGTGGAATAAATCACTCAAGCACTGTATGCTTGATTTTCTTCGGTATGCATTTCACTTCCAAATTTTTTTTTTTTTTTATGCCATGCTCATCTCTTTGCACCAACAAAGGCATAGCAAATGAATCTAAAAAACTGTACGGAGCACAGTTCCACCCTGAAGTTAGCCTCACAGTGAATGGAAAAATGATCCTGAAGAATTTTCTCTATGATATTGCGGGATGCAGTGGTACCTTTACAGTGGAAAACAGAGAAGTTCAGTGCATTCAAGATATCAAAGAGAAAGTGGGTTCATCAAAAGTCCTGGTAAGTAGATTGAATTAAAGCTGAAAGATTATTTGCAAAAGCTTGACAAAAGCACTGACACTTAGAGTTACTCAGGTTAATTTGAAAAATGCGGAATTGCCATGATTCGTGTAATACATTAAACAGGTTTTAGAAATCCTGCACAACTGGGTCGATACGTTGTTTGACTTCTTGTTTTCTCCCAAATCATTGACTGTAAGTCTGTTCTGGTCCTCAGAGTTGAACTATTTGTTAACACTTTCCCTGTAGACAGCTGACCAAATTTTGTATGGTTTTTTTTTCCTTTTTTTTTTTTTCCTCATCCTTAGGTTTTACTCAGTGGCGGTGTGGACTCAACAGTGTGTACTGCTCTCCTGAACAGAGCTTTAAATCAAGATCAGGTCATAGCTGTACACATAGATAATGGTTTTATGCGCAAGAGAGAGAGTCAGTCTGTGGAGGAGGCACTCAAAAAACTTGGCATTCAAGTTAAAGGTACCGTAATTTTGTTCAATATGCCTGATACTGCTAATGCAGTCTCTCCTAAAATGTATGCTCAGGGGTTTTGTTTCATTGATTTGAATGATCTTCACAGTTCTCAGACTTTACATACCCAAGCATGGCTGCTGATTTGGAACCACCTAGGCCTGTTCACAAAAATTCAAACTGCAAATATTAAGCCTGCCTTACTTGGTCGGAGCCTACACCGAGCTGAACCGTCTCGCCGGTTGTTGAGCTCTGCTCTCTGCTGTTGGGACGCAGCTAAGTGGTGGAGTGCCTGTCACCTCTCTGCTGATGGCTGAGCAGTCAAAACTCATTTGATTGCAGTTCTCTTTAGTAGCTGGGTTAACAGTCCTCCCAGCAGGGCTTTATTTCTTGTCCTGGATCTCTTTCTTTTTAAACTGTGAGCTCGTTTGGGTGATTGAATGCTATTACAGTGAAAATTACTTTTTCAAGGCGTTTTTTTCTTCTCTCCTGGCTTATAAATCGATGTGTTTTAGCTGGTTTTGGAGTAGCTTGTTGAGAAGCAGTACGTGATGAGGGAGCAGAAGGTACCTTGTCACGGCTGATGAGAAGGTTTAGAGTTTTTTGGTACCTGAAGTGCGAGTTGCTCGAAGACAAATGATGTGTGTTTGAGTTGTGCAAACGGTGAGAGCTGCTTTGTACTGCCTGGCTGATTTCTTTCATGAGCAATAGCTGCCTGGTGCCGGGGCTGTGTGGAAGTACAGCTGCCGTGTGTGTGTCCCTCACGTTTTGGCCAGGAGGCACGGCACTAGGTGAGCAGTCCCTCCCCGTGGCCCGGCAGCGGGACGCGGCGCAGGGAGCTCGCACGCTCGTGTCTTGCACGTTGGGCTGTAACATCCTGACGCAGCAAAGTCTAACTTCTGTTCTACATGCATGTTGGGGTGTTTTAATTTTGTTTTTACTTTTTTTTCAGAGGAAAATATAGGTCTTATATTTGCACTCTGTAGACCAATAAACTTGGGCTCTGGCTGGCTGCCAGAGTAACAAATTGAGGGAATCCCTGTGCTGGAAATGCTCCTTCTGTAGGTCATGGCGTTCAGTGCTGGTAAAAAAAAAAAAAAGCCAAAGAGTATCCTAGCTGATCTCTGCCTTGAAAGCCTCTCTAAATGAAGAGGCATAATGTACCATGAGTAAGTAGTGCATCATTTAATTTTGGTTGCAGAAAGGCCTTGGGGAAATACCGTCCTGTAAACTATTTACATAAAGCAAGTAAATTATAGTCTAAGAACTCAAGCAAGAACTCAACTTTCACATGGTTTTCTGGCCTCATAATATGAAAAAAAAATTGCCCTCTAGAGTAGGTTAATAAGAGAAATAAAATGCTTTTGTTACAATTAATTCTTGAGCTATTGAACAGCCCTATTTAATGCAGTTAATAGTCAAAGGACTGGAGTGATCTTTATTTTCTTTTTTTAAAGCAGTAGAGTGAAACTTGTATTTTTGCAACCTTGCATAAAAATCTTTACCGGCTTTGCCAAAAAACTCCTGTAATTTCATGCAGTGGTGAATGCAGCTCATTCATTCTATAATGGGACAACAACTCTGCCCATCTCGGATGAGGACAGAACTCCACGTAAAAGAATTAGCAAAACCTTAAACATGACTACAAGTCCTGAAGAAAAAAGAAAAATTATTGGTGACACCTTTGTTAAGGTAATGTTTATTTGTTGGCAGGCGTTTTGGTTTTTGTTGGGTTTGGGGGTTTCTTTTTTTAATGCTGTGATGTCTAGGTAAGTCTTCTGTGTCGGGCTGTTACGTGCTAACGTGCTGTGCGCTCAGTGGCGTCAGTGCTCTTAAGTTGTGGATGACGTAAGAAGCCATTGGCACGTTATCCTACACCTAAAACTTTTGGCACTCACTCGGTGGTCACAGCGTGGTTCATGAGCATTGCACAAGGTCCACCAGCGTGTTCAGATGTACTGCTTGGCCATTCATAAACTTCCATGTCACCTTTTTTCACCAGAGTGATGGGTGACGTGAACTGGGGCGTGCTTCTGGTGCTGTGCTGAAGATGACCCATTTTCCATCTGTCAGCAGTCAGTGTTGGTGATGAAGGGAGGATATAACATTTAACAGGCAGTAATGTTCCTGTAGTCTGAAGATGGTTTTTTCCATTTTTTTGTTCAAGAAAATACGGGGTTATAGGACTATTTCAGCAGTGGGCCAGTGTCATAATTAGTCTTCCTATTTGTTTGGGCTTTTGCAGCTCAGTAGCATTCACTGGGCAATCCATTACCTTCCTTTAGACCTTTGACAACCAAAAAGTAGATTGAAACACTTTTCTTTTTTCTTTTCACCTTATAGATTGCCAATGAAGTTATCGGAGAAATGAATCTGAAACCTGAAGAGGTTTTTCTTGCTCAGGGCACCCTCAGACCTGATCTCATTGAAAGTGCTTCCCTTGTTGCAAGTGGCAAAGCTGAAGTCATCAAAACTCATCATAATGACACGGAGCTGATTCGAAAGTTAAGAGAAGAGGTAAATGAAAACAAGGATGCTGGTGTATCCTTCTGGTTCTCATAGCTGTGAAGCCAAGTATCAAAAGTGCAAAACTTCTGTGTTCTGCTGGTGTAACTGTCCCGTGTTGATGGGACCCTGCTCTGATGAGGCCCTTTAGGTTCTGTTGCAATTATTACATTTCTTGCTAGTTGCTGCATTCCCAAAGTAGTCAAAATTGTTTGAGTATTGTCCAGCAGTGGCTACTGAGGAAGATGTCAACAGATTGAACGTGAATTCATTCCGTGTGAACACTTGTGGTCTCAGCTGCACGCTGAAAGCTGTTTCCTCGCTCTTTCCCTTTTTAACCCTCAAAACAAATGTGCATCCTTGTAAGGAGGCAGAGCAATACCACGTGCCTTTAGTGGGAGAGGGGTTTAAGACTTCTCAGACAAATTTATTTTGGTTTAGCTGGAGTTTGTGGTGTAAATGGGTCATTTATTCCTTCTATATCTTGTTCTGCACACTAGTCAGTGGGTAACCTTTAGGTACTGATAGTCCATTTCTGGCTCATTATGGTTCAGGCAAGAGTGGTGTCAGTGCTTTAGTGAAAAGAAAATCAGCTCCTGTTGAGAGAGGGCCAAAATTCTTCTCTTGAACCTCTAGTAACATTCAGCACTGCAAGCATAGTATTCTCTCTCTTGAGAGAGCATGAGACATTTAAATGTCTCAAAATCTAGGGTTAATTCCTTCAGGTGCCTACAGGGATGAGTTCTTTCTGTTCTTACGCAGCTTCTGCATCCCATTACTGGTAACCTGATCAGCTGTCTGCCAGCAGTACGCTGGTGGCACACAATCTGTTTGCCAGTTGTCAGTTTAAGAACCCACAAATCTATCTGAAATGGCCCAACATGGGCATCTGTGGACGACAGCCAGGAGGATGAAGATGATACGAACGCAGGAGGCTGAACTGTCTGAAGATAAGGAGCCCAAGTCCTGTCCCTTTGATTACACTCCCAATCGCTCCGTTCAGTCCAAAGTCCAGAAGAGCTTTTTGAATACCTTTCTCCTGCAGAGCTCTTGACTATTAGCATATGAAGTAACTGTAGGAGACTGCCCTGTTCTGCCGTTTCTGATACTAGAACGGGAAGTTCTCCAACTGTATCATAAGGGAATCGGCACACGAGACATCACGTAACTCTGTTGGAAGGTGCTCAGTTATTAGTAAGTGCCCAAGTAAGTTGGAGAGAAAATAAGTTACTGACCCACACTTCTAATACTGTACAAAGTATTTTCAAGGCTTCTGGATGGGTTTGAACATCTAGGGAAGAGAAGAAAGATCTGACTTAGTGAAGACAAAGCAGGCATGACCGACAGCTGTATCCACACTGATTGTGCCGCTCATATTTCTGGCACAACCTTAAACTTCCTTGTCCTGTGATGTTTTTACAAAGCCCACATTCACATGTACTTTCTTTCCAGTGTTCATGCAAGTGTTGGCAGGTGACGCTGTGAAAAGCAGGCCAGTTTGACTGCCATAATCTGAACATTTGAGGCTTTTTGTTGGAGTATGTAAGCTGGAGTGTAAGTTGCTTTTTCTTCTTTAAGGGTAAAGTAATAGAACCGCTGAAAGACTTTCACAAAGATGAAGTGCGAGTGCTAGGGAGAGAACTTGGTCTTCCTGAAGAGCTGGTTTCAAGGCATCCCTTCCCAGGTATGAGAGTCGGTCTGTGCTACTAGCGAGGGGCTATGGGTTGCATCGGTGTTAATTAGAATGTACCTAACCTGTAGAGTAAATTAGTGCTGGAGCATAAAAGTTACCTTTAAACTGGAAAAAAAAAAATGATGGATTTATTAGTTTTTACTTAAGCAGGGTCTTCTTTCAGGAAATGAGCATTTAAGAGCAGCTTTATTACGTGTAGTGATTAAAGTTTTATAATTGAGTTTGCTTTTAGCTGCAGTTGTTTCTTTTTAGTTGCGTAAGAATTATCAGTGAAGCGCAGCTGAATGCTGCCTGAGCTGTCAAACGTATCTTACTTGAAATATTGGTCTATATCCACCTGCCTTTCTAAGGGGCACTTGCTGTTCCGAGAACGACTGCGTGGGGAATAACAACAGTTCTTCACCAGAAAACATCAGAGTTACCTATCAGCCAGCCAAGTCCACATCCTTTTAAGAGGGGAATGTGTTTTTCTGTCCCTGTGTTGTAGAAGTTGTCCTGCAGGGTGTGTAGTAGTCCCTGGCAGAGCGTGGAGGCTGTTGTGCCGATGCACCAGCATCACATGAAAAGCAAGAAGCTGTCTTCAGACATCTCCAGGAAATTACACGTGGTTTTGTATCAAGTAGCTAAAAGGTCAGAGAGCTGGCAGGGGTCTTTAGAAGCCGCGGAGACTCAACTCTTATAACCAACTCTCTGATCCCAGTTGCCTAGTGAAGGGAAGGAGGTTCCCGTTTGCTCTGGCTTTGCCATCACCACTAATTGCTGCTTTAAACAGCCAGCCCATTTAGCTAAAAAAAAAATGCTTAAACGTACCAAACAGAAATACTGTTCCGGAATAAACACCTCGTGTATTTTTTTCTCTTGTAGGGTGTTAAGACAATAGAAGTACAGGTACAATGGCAAAGCTCACTGTCCTCAGTGACTGACCTGCTGTTCCAGATGCTGTCATGTTTTCAGATGAAAGTCAGCTTTCCTGTTCTCTAGTATAATGTCTTTTTTTTCAACTCTGCAGGTCCTGGTCTAGCAATCAGAGTGATATGTGCTGAAGAGCCTTATGTGTGCAAAGACTTTCCTGAAACAAACAACATTTTGAAAATAGTTGCAGATTTTTCTGCGAGTGTTAAGAAGGTAACAAAACGGTGAAATTCTAACCTGCATGGAAGTCGCGTGGTCATTCTGTAGTGGCCTGCCATAGGGTTTAAGCTGACAGAATTTTAAAACCCCTTTTTTGTGCTCTTCAAAGAGTAATGCCTTTCAGTACAATTCACTCGAACCCATTCAGCGTAGAACTTTTCACACTATGACTGGTGCAAATGTTAGGTTTTGAAAAACGGGAGTTTACACAATTTTCAACCAGTGCATACATTTTGTCTCAATTAAACTTTGTGCAGCTGAGGATTTCTGGAGATTTTTCACGCCCTGAAATAATGGTAACTTTCTATTGTTGCATGCCCACACAATCACTGAATGTCGAAATTAAAGTGCCGGAGCAAGGAATTAGTGCTTCCAGATATCCTGAAGAGAAACATGAAGTTATGTTGAAGTTCTCAGTCTGTTATGACCTTCATGATTACTGTAAACTCACTTGAACTAAACTGCAGGGGGCTGGAAAGTTGTTAGCAGACGCCTGTTCTAAATCCCAGGTTCAAAATGGCTTCTAAAAACATGGAAGGGGAGTATTTCCTTGAAAACTTGTGGAATTGTGGTGTGGAGTAATAGGATATTGCTTTGTTCTGTATCTGAAATAAACAATAAAGAAAAGTATAGCTTTGTGAGAGAGAGAACGAGCGTAGGAAAAGAGCTTCACCTGTGGCCCTTGAGAGCTTCAGCCTGAGCTACATGCAGTCCGGTCAAAACTGCTGTCGCTAAAATTTAGTTGTTAAATGGAAAATATTTTTAAATAGTTCCAGGGGGTTAATGTGAACTAAATTTAAGCAAACAGCTACTTAAATAATAAATTTAATTAGCATTGTATAAGCTCTGTTGGAGTGCTTGGGGCCTTATTTAATTAAAATTTCTTTTTCTGCATCGTTGCACAGCCACATACTTTGCTGCAGAGGGTTAAAGCGTGTACAAGTGAAGAAGATCAGGAGAAGCTGATGCAGATTACAAGCCTACATTCACTGAATGCCTTCTTGTTACCAATCAAAACTGTGGGAGTGCAGGTACGTGGATTCATTCCAGGGACGTTCTGAAAGCTGCTTCCTACCACTGTGGCAGGCTGCAGCGAAGCAGAATAATTGCTGCTTAAAGATTGAAAATAAAGGGCTTGACTCGGGAACTTAATCTTCAAATGACTGAGATCTGATGGTGTTGTCATTTGTCAGTGCTGGTGTAGTGCAAAGGTGTCAAGACATCTGAACAGACACTTGAGCAAGTGCCAGGTCTTGTATTGAGGGTATCATTAAGGCTGGACGATGCTGGTCACTTAAAGGCAGTCTCTTCGTGGCTTCATAGTCTGGTAGACCTCTGCTCTAATCCTGTTGCCCACTTTAAGGCTCAGGAGTCCTACAGCACTGGTCAAAAAGCCCCCCTGCTTCCTACATCTGCACATCCTTGCTGCTCTTTCCTGCGCTGGTCCTCGGCCTCGTCCTGCACCGGGGTGGTGCAGGCTGTTCAGGATCCGGGAGCTTTTGAATCCCTGCAGCGGGGTAGTCTTGTCTTTCCTTTCACTCCTTTGCTAACGCCACTGGAATTTTTGTGGGCTGTCCTTTGTATTTCTGTCACCAAACGCCGAGCTGGCATTGTCATGGACTTGTGAGCAGTAACTTGGAAGACTTCTTTACTGAGTAGTCAGAGCTGTAAAGTACTTTTCTCTGCTTTATCAGTATTGAATTACATCTGTTGTTATCCCCTGCTTAATCCTGTGTGTCTCTTCTGTAACTCCCTGCAGTCAGCTTTTCTCACTATTTTTAAATAGCAATACCCTGAGCAGATATTTATGCTCCATCACAGGCTTTCTTCAGATGGTGCTGTCAGAACACCACCACACAGCCAATCCCTTTGCTCAGGTCACCTTACACGAATCTTTCCATCCCGAACGTTTTGTACCCTCTCGTTAGCTCACAACACAAATACAATTCTGTGTTTTCTCATTCACTTGGTATCTCTCAGCGTATTCACCAGCTGAGTGTCTGCTAACTGTTGACACAAAGTATGGTCCTGTAACCTACAGCATGAACGGGAAAGTATTGTGAACTATTTTGGAGCAAGCTTCATGTTCATTTATTTACCTTTTTCTCATTTATAGGGTGACTGTCGCTCATATAGCTATGTTTGTGGGATCTCTAGTAAAGATGCTCCTCACTGGGAGTCTCTTATGTTTCTTGCCAGGCTCATACCACGCATGTGCCACAACATAAACAGGTAAGTCTTTTGGATTATCTTTAGTTCTCATGATCAGCTTAACATACACAGAATTTTATCTTGCACAAGCATTCTCCTGTTTGATCTGTGGTAGAATTTTTTAATATGTTGTATGAATTTATCATACAGAGGTTACAAATGCACAATAAATCAAAACATAGGTTTATTTCTGGAATTGCTAGCCTGAAAAAGAAAATGATAGCCTGTCTACTAATTTTTTTGAAGAACTTGGCTAGACAACGTTCAGTGTAACTTATGCAAAATCTCTTTTGGAAGATTCCAAGTCTGCTGATGAGTTCTGGTGTCATGCGGTACTGCTTTGCTTTGTGTCTAAAAGGGAATTTACGTGGGACTGTCAGTTCTAATGGCACGTAGGAAAGCTCCGAAGCTGGGCAGTTTAATCGTAATTGAGCTCTCTCGTGAGTCTGCATTTTCTAGCTACTCGATTCCCTAACTTTTCCAGCACCTGAAGTTGCTTAGATATTAAATCCGTTCTGGAGAAGGCATGTCCTCCTTGCCTGGCTGCAGACTTCCTGACGAAACTGCTTCTAATCGCTTATAGCAAAACTTAATTTTGTCACATAAGTGACACCTACTGAAGGAGGTATTCTTAAAGGCGAGATCTTGAATTGCAAGGTGGTACTTCAAACTAAATGCAGAGGGAACAGAAGAAGGCAGAAAACCAGGACTGCGTGTGCAGTTTCAGAGCACGTGCTGGGTTTACGGCGTTGGTGTCCTCTTCAAGCTCTTGTGGATTTACTACTGAATATACCCCACGTCTGGGAGTTCTGCTGTACCAGGGTCAGTCTCTCACTGCTGTTTCTAGGGACACTGAAGTTGGCAGTTTGAGGAGCGGTGCACTGAAATTGTTGGTCTTCTGCCCAGCTGTGCTTGCAGGCTTTGTATTGCAAACGAAAATACAGAGTGAAAAGCTTGCCTCACTTTCTGCTTTGGATTTTAGACAAGTATTCTTGGTTTGTATCCACAAACCCAAATAACTCGTGTGAATATATTGTAGTAAATCCTTGTATGAGACCAGTCAGCAAATATTACGCTTTGCTTTTTGTTCTGCAACATAGAAAACACGGGTGAAATTAAAAAGATAAAGCTGATGTGAACTGTTTTGAATTCAGAAGACATTTTATTACAGATGTAGTTACGTAGATTTTTAAATAGTGGTGTCAGTGCCCTGTGCTGAAAACACAGCTATTCTTTAACAATAAGGTTTACTATTTAATGGTATTTTTTGTGGTTTCCTATTAGGAGAGAAGATAGAAATTATAAGAACTTATTAAGTAGCTTCCTTAGAACAATCTTAGCTTTAACTGGCATCAAAGTAAAATTGAAAAAAAACCCTTTGTGATAGTGCTGAGTTAGGATTTCTGGGTTGTTTTTTTTTTTTTTCCAATTATTCTCTTAAGTAATACTGGGGCTATCACTAGTCTCTAGCAAACCAAAGTAGATTTGTATGTCTGATTTCCAAAGCTAGTGTGTGTGTCGTGTTTGCAGAATACGCACGTGAACTTCTGTTAAGCTCCAGTTAGCAGCTAAGGAGCTTTTTTTCCTAGTTCTGTTTTCTCACAGCAGTGCTAAAGATGCAGTCTGTCGGGAATCTGTTTTATTCTATGTTAGCATGATGTTTGGGCTTACATTTCCATCCTGCCTGTTTTCCAGAGTTGTGTACGTGTTCGGTCCACCGGTCAAAGAACCTCCTACAGACGTCACCCCCACTTTCCTGACAACAGGAGTCCTCAGCACTTTACGTCAAGCTGATTTTGAGGCTCACAATATTCTCAGGGAGTCTGGTAGGTACATTGCCTCGGCCCAGGGATTAGACTCTTGTGTCAAGATCCCTGCAAACCTGACTGGGGGTAGTTACAGTGGTATTGTCAAAATCTAAAAGCTTCTCAAGTAGCTGCAAAAAGTGATAAGTTAATGGGGCGAAAGGCAGGAGCTGTTTCTGCAGGGTGTAGAAGCTGGTAGCTAAAGGACAGGAATTGCCTTTCTGATAGCAGAATTCATTTTAGGGGATTTTGGGGGATTGTGGCTTGCCTCTGACACATCTCAAAGCTTGGTGCTACTTTACAGCAGTGCAAACGTCTGCAAAAAGTGCTGTTAGCCAGCTGAAAGTCAGCCGAATTACTTCTCTTTGCTGATGATCTCAGTCATCAGCATTTACCTGAAGTAAATAAACAGTGTAAAGAAACTTGGCATAGTTTCTAAATCATGGGGGGGGGGGGCTGTGGAAAGAAGGGAGCCTGAATGCTAAGTTTCATGACCATTAGGTCATGGTGCTCACTACCTGGGGTGGCTTCATAGTTCTCAAAGTAAAAACTGTATTTGAAACCCAACGACTTCAGGCTAGCAGATGGTAATACTTCAAACCCTCAACATCCAGGGAGCTTTTGGTACCCTGTGACATGGCACGTATCTTAAGAATATAGTTTTTCTGAGGTTCAGTTATTTTTGTTTTAATTTTTTACTTAATTACATTTGAAGATGTGATACGTGTGGGAAGCAGTTCATCAGCCTTGCCTGTGTTTTGTGTAAAACAAATTACAAAGGATATCTCTTTTTGAACATACATGCTCTGTTTGCAAAGCTGTCTTACCATAGTTTATATAAAAATAGCCTCAAAAGGCTGAGGATAACACTTACAATTGTGTTTGTAAAACTGTAGATGTGTCTCGCTAACTTTTGGTGACACTCGGCTTTGCGTGAATGAATCACTCCCCAAAATAAGGCTTGAGTTACTTAGTGAAAAAGACTCTTTGTACCAGTAACTCAAGTGGGTGCAAGCAGAGGGTGAGAGCCTGCATCGGTGTTAGACTGGCTCTGCAGGCTGCCACACACCTGCACCTCAGACCTTTAGATCATTTAAACGCTGAACTGAGGGGAACTGTGTTTTGGCTTTCAGAGCCATTAAAAAAAGAGAAAGTGAGGTGATTGTCTGGAGTTACCTATCAACCACCCGCAACAGGGATACTTAAGAGCTTTCTCTTAAATATGGCAGAGCTGCTTGCGAAGGGCTCTTTATTGGGCTTGATACGGGAACAGACAAAACCCCACGGTTACGTTATGTGGATCTTAAATTGCATCCGCAGCGAGTTGCAGGGCTAACGGAGCCCAGCTGGGTGTGTTCTGCATGCTGCAGATGCTGAAGATCATTTCGGGTGGCAGTTTGTGTAGTTGTAGTGTGAGATCTCCTGGGGTGAGGTAGCAGTAGTGGAAAGATCCCGAAAGATGTCAGTGTGGCTCCCAATAGGTAGTTTGAAGTACATGTGGGAGATGCTGTAAAACTTCTATCACCCTTGTGTCTTTAAACCAAATTAACGCCCTTTGTGCTGCTGTTTTCTGAAGGTTATGCCGGAAAAATTAGCCAGATGCCAATAATACTGACGCCGTTGCATTTTGATCGGGACCCTCTACAGAAACAACCTTCCTGTCAAAGATCTGTGGTTATTCGAACTTTTATTACAAGTGATTTTATGACTGGTATTGCAGCAACTCCTGGTAATGAGGTGCCAGAAGAGGTAATACGGGTTTTGAAGTTCCTTTTCAACACGAGCTGGTATTGTAGATGACTCATTTTGACTTTCTTCCCTTGATCACTTGCCTTGACTCTTTGGTGTGACTTTCTTTGTCTCTTACGTTGGATTCATTAGGAAGAATATGGTGGTGTTTTGGGAAAAAAAATCTGTGGGAAGATGAGAATCTGGCCAATGGATGTGGCAAACTTAGAGGCTTTCCAGCAGAGTTGAGCCAAAACACCATCAATTAAAAAAGAAAGAACACCCCAACCATTTTTGAGATTTTTGAAATTAATTTTTTTGTATTAGTAATTGGGGATGTCCTGACAGATTTGCCCTTGATTGTCACTTCTGATTGTACTGGAACCTGCTGTTTAATGTCTCAAAGTGTGCTGTACTAAAGCATGTAGGGGTTGAGTTCAGGCACATTCTTCTGGGAAACTTTATCCATGTCCAGTTTCAAGTACTTGTCTCCCTGGGAATGCAGCGTAAATGAAGACCAGGACTGACTTTTTTTTTTTTTTTTAAACATACTTTAAAAGCATATAGGCATTGTTTAGTGATTGTGTGTAACTGGAATCTTCTACTTTAAGGCAGCCTCTAGCTATTTAAAAAGAAAGGATTCAGCGTTAAGTTACCACGTAAACTGTTCCATTATATAAAATGAGGATTTGTTTGACCTTGAAGTTTGTGTTTAAAAACAAACAAACCAACCATAAAACCCGCACCCAAACAAAACGCCCCACGCTCTTCAAAATGTAAAATTGTCGCTTGAAGCTAGGTGGTAATGTGGTAACAAAATAGTGGAGGGTGTGGAAGAGACCTGTATTTATGGGGAAAATAGCTGACGAAAAATGTTCTGTGTTTTTCCATGGAGAGCAATGCATTGTTTAATTTATGCTGGCGCTGTGGAACAGCGTGTCGTCGAAGTGGCAGTGTTGCGAACTGTGGGATTTTTAAGGAACCTGAACTTCTAAGGATCAGCAAATTCTCATTTGGATACTTGTGCTAACATGAACTGATTGTGAACTCTGGAAAATAACTATCAATGGAAACTCTTCGGGTGTCTCTTGCTGTTTGTTTCTTGTTTTTTTCTTTTAGAGCTTTTTTTGTTTGTTTTGAAAGGGCTTTTGCTCAGACTGTTGTTTTGGGTTTGGTGGTGGTTCAGCTGGAGGTGATGGTGGTCTGAGAAAAGTCTGGAAATGATTGATAATAACTCATAAGTGCCTGTGTTCCTGCTGAACTTTGAAGAAATAGTTTTGAAGCTGAAGAGCGGCTGCCTGGAGGGAAGTGTACTGCGATCGACACCCTGGTTTATTATCAGTGCCAAAAATCAGCAAGTTCCGTGAAGCTAGAGGTTTTAAGTTGATTTTCTTTCTTAATTGGTGGTAATATGCTAATAGCTATAGGCTCTTTCTCTCTTGCGTAATTAGTGTGAACCGCTTTCCTTTTTTAAGCTTTTCTTGGATAGTTTTCATCAGGTCTGTTTTACATGTTTCCTCCTGATGTGTTCTATTTTTTTTTTCTCTCCACGATAGGTTGTGTTAAAAATGGTGGCGGAGATTAAGAAGATTCCTGGTATTTCTCGGGTGATGTATGACTTGACATCAAAGCCACCAGGAACTACGGAGTGGGAGTAATTAACTTTTTTTCTATTAAAGTACTGTGTGCAGTCTAAATCATATCAGAAACCATTCCCAGTGTTGACATGCAGTACTGTGAAAGAGTGACTGGAGCTGCTACATCGCATCAGATTCCTCTCCTGGAGCATAAACCTGCAGTTAAGAGCTGTGCTGGGGATGACTGAGTGGGGCTGAGGATTTGTACGGGTAAATAATCATGGCAGCCTTGCCGGTGCGCAGACAGATTCCTATTGCTTTTGCCTTTGTCCTACCCGTTCTTCCCGTTTCCGCGTGTTTTATTGTTAACTGTAATTTCAGCGTCTCTTTGTTTTTGTACACTGCGTGAGAAGAGACAGTTTATTTACTTCTACCGAAAGCATTGTTACAGCCTAAAAACGTGAGATGAATTCTTTGTGACCAACTGCTTTTGAACGGATTTATTATAAATGAATATTTTGCCAAACGGAGTAGTGGGTACGGTTGAGCTGTGGAATTACCGTGTACCTGTTGTAGAGTGTTTAGCCTGTTCTGTGTTGTTTGACGTGTCGGCCCATGGCAATAACGTTGAGCTCCACAAGAGCCATGCTGAGATAGGACGGAATTACCTCTGTCTGTCTGTCCTGTACCCGCTCCCTCCTGCACCGCTCGGTAGCTCTGTGCGTTGGCAGCAGGCGTGGATCCACGGGCGCAGCTTTAGTGTCTGCGTGTGTCCAGTTCCAGGCAGTGAAGTGTCGCAGTGCTGCTGGGGACGCTGATGGAAGTGTACAAAGGGGAGAGCAGCGTGGAGAGCTGCGGCACCGGGGCTGCTGCGTCTCTAAACCCTGTTTCTGTCCTCGGAGGCCGGCGCAGCAGTCCCTTCGCAGCCTGCTGCCGATGTGCTTTCCTGATACTTGATGACAGTTTATTTTCTCGCGTTTGCTTTTACAGGATTTTTTTTTTTTTTAATGTATTATACTTAGCTTGATCCTTACGATCATTATAGCTGTTAGTGTGGAGTCACAGTACCGGAGGTGACTTACCCAATCCACGTAGATCCCTTCGTCATTCCTGTTCTGCAGTTTATGTAGTTAAGTAAGCAATAATCTGAGAGATGGTTACTTTGGACACCTGTACTTTTCCTGATGTGTTGAGGCAAAGCTGTTTCCATCCACCTGAGAATTTTGAGCATGTCCTGTGACTGCTGTCTGTGGAAGTAACAGTTAAATCCTGACCTGAGCAGCGTGCTGGGTACCTCCACCGGTGGAACCCCAACGTGTATCCAGGCTCATCCCTCTTAGCCCTTTGTTTTAATTTAAGCAGCTGCATTTCATTCAGCTGCCAGATTACCATAGTGTTATGGGGTAAAACACTTGGTTTAAACTGTTCAATAACGAGTATTTCATGGCTGTAGCTACTTATATTTCCATTTGCATAGATTTGTGAACTGGAATAACTGTTGAAAGTGTTTGTTCTATGTTCTCTTGATTGCACACATTTTCCTGTTGTTCTTACATTTCCTGCCTACACGTTATGGTAATTTAGTTTAATTTCTGCTTATAGGAAATGGCTAACTTGTGTAAATGTCTTCTTTTGCCTGTGTCATTGAGTGGTGGTTTTTCACTCGGGGGGAGGAGATGGCGTGTCCCAGCTCTCTGACCCCTCTGAGGGCAGGGGCTGGGGGAACGCCGCCCCCCCCCTCGCAGCCCCGCTCCCGGCAGCTTTTGCAGTGGTCTTCATCGAGAACTCGATGCCCCCTTTGTAGAATGGGGGAGTAATTCTCACCCACATCTGCCATACCCTCTTGGAGCCCTTTGGATGAGCTTTTTGTGACGTGAGTGAAGTATTAGCAATACAAATGTTCTTTTGTTACTGGACTGGTCTGTAAGAGCTGTTGGTCAGAAACGCTGTAAATGGGTGTTTGCTGTGGCAGAATCTGTTATAGCGTGGGTTCTGCTGAAAACAAATTTTCTTTGTAGCTTATCTCAAAAGAAAGGTCCCTAATGAATTGATGGCCTTAGAGCGCGTTTTCACTTTCCGTTAGAAGAAGCTGAGGATAGTTGTTTCCATTACTGTCTTGGTGTCTCAGCTGTAAAGGGTGCAGTGACAAGAAATGAATCTTTCTTGGTGTGATGCAGAAATCCTTCAGCTTTTAATGCTACGGCAGTTGTTGCTTGTTGTAAGTAGACTCGCTCTTGCTGCTGCTGCTGCCACCACTTCGTGTTGCCTTGACAGCAAACAGGCAAAAGAGGAGGAATTAGTAAAATGTGATGCAAAGACTATAGAGCACCTCTCAAACCCAAACCTTTCCCAGTTTTGACTGAGACACTTAGTCGGTCTCCGTGTAAATAAATCCGCAGTGTGTAGTCCCATGGTTACGGTGTAACTCGCAAGAAGACTTGGGTGGCGCCGGCGGTGCCCGCGGGCTGGGGGTCGTGGTAACTGTTGGACATCTGGACCACAAACTTGCCGCCTACTGGGCAGAAATCTCTTCTTCCCTGCATGCTGCACACTTTGGAAGTCATTCTTGGAGTTGTCTCTTAACTACAGGCGCGATGTATACCTGTGTGCTGCGTGTGTACTGCAGTTTGACATCCACTTTTACCATCTTTTAATCACCCGGGTTGCTATTGTGTCTGACGACATGGAGCTCAACACCAGTTCCTGTGCTCTTCGGGAACATAACTTTGGTTTGGGATTTTTTTTTTTTTTTTTTTTAAGTCAGAAGGTTGAATATTGAAAATTTTAAGCATAAACTCTTGCACTATGATCAAAATGTCTTATCAAAATGAAATTTGTGCTCCTTGGCTCTCTTTCCCCTGTTTGACACCTGTGCCATGCATTGTAGACGTGGTGGGTTGTTCTTAGGAAGGTTGGTGTTATCATCCCAGCGGTTCTCGAGTGTTTTGATGGAATCCGTGTGTATCGGACAGCCAGAAGTGGAGAGAAACTTAATACTCTGTTCACATTTCTTAAAAAAAAAAAAATATATTTAGCACCTAGTTTACAAACTAATAACTGTAGCTGCCCTGTACAATTGTTCACCTCGAGTCTTCAGTAAAACATGTCAGCAGTTAGAGGAATTTGTATTGGGGGCATTCCCCATCATTCTCAATTTTTAACATTTTTCTGCTTGTGAAATGATAAAGTACTGTGAGCCTTAATTTTTATCCACAAATAAAAATATTATGTTTGAACATCGGTGTGGCTTATTTTTTAGGGCTTATATGTAGAAGCTACATTATAAACAGCCTGTCTGTTTTGGGTTGAAGAAGCTGGTTTGTGGCAGTCGTGCTTTCTGGCTGCAGACCTTCCTGGGGTGGGGACATGTCCCTGCTGGGGCACGGCTGTCCCCGCCCGTGTCACAGCACAGGACACCCCGCTGCAGAGTCACGGGCCGCTCTGGTACTTACCCCACGTGTGCTTGCTTACACTATGGCAAGTGTAACTCTTCCTAAACGGGTGTGTAGAGCCTTTTTCTAGGTTGATTTAACCAGGTTAATTAAAACTGAGCCTCTTCTCATTTAATTACCCTCACCTGGTGACGGCCACACAGACTAGGACAGGCTGCTCTGTCCCTGGGGGTGGGTCTGCAGCATCCTCGCGGGACACTCCTCCAGCACCCCGTTGGGTGGTGGCAGACCTCTGCTGCTGGCATTTAATTGTTTTTGCCGGGAGGTCACAATTTCCAGTCTGAATGCAAATTTTCTCTTTAAAAAGGCAGCTGAGATTGTACTTCAGAACAAAACTTGGCGTGCGGTCGTAAGTTGCCGTCGTCTGCAGGAGAGACCGTGAGTGGGCACCGGTCATTTATCTTGCCTAAAGGTTCTTTCATGCAGCGCACAAGCTACGCTCTGGAATCAAAGGGCGGCTGCTATGATTTTGGTGTAAATGCTTTGGCCTCCAGCGCTGCTGTGGTTTCCGTGTAAATGATTTGTCTTTGAGTGTGGATGTTCAGGCTCCGCGGGCAGCGCCTGTGCTTGGGCTGTGCTGGGGTTTGAGCGAGCCCCTGCTTACGCTCTGCTCCCTGGTCTGTGATGTAAACACCAACCCCTGTCCCCCGGGGAGCGCGGTGGCGACTTGTTCTCGCCCAGATGCCGCGGCAGCGTTTCGGAGTGGTAGCAGCCCTCTGCTCCCGCTCCTGCCGGGCCCGGGCACCTGGAGCTGCAGTTGTCCTGCGCTTGGGACCCGCGTACTCGCAGAGGCTGCAGGGTTTGCTGCTTCTGGAGGGAGCGTCTGTCTTCCTGCAGGGAGCCTTCGAAACAAACGTCTCATTTTGCGTGTTTTTTCCTCCGTAGCTCAGGAGCGATGGAGACTCTGGGCCAAAACCCCCTGTGCGCTTTTCCAGCCTTCCAGGAGAGCGTTAGGGGATTTCGCAGAGCGGCAGCGGACCCAAGGTAAGGGGGGGACGTGCGGGCCTTGACTGAGCGTTGCCTGGCGGGCTCTGGGGTCTGGGGGTGCAGCCGCGTGGTTTCTGGGGGGCGAGGGCCGTGCAGTTGGGCTCGCTGGGGAGCCCGGGGCTCTGGCTGGCAGGGAGCAGGGATGCTCCTCGGGTCTCTGCCCCCCAGCGCAGCCCCCCCGCTTTGAGTGCAGCCCCCCCTCCACCCAGGGAGCGTGAGGTGCCCGGGGCCCGCGCGCAGGAGCAAACGAGTTGGTGGGAGTGGGAAACCGACTGGGGGAAGAACAGGTGCAGAAATGAAGCCAGAATGTTTTTCACAAGGTGATAACTGTCTGCTAAAGCATTTTCAGAAAATTCACAAGTTGAAAAGGAATTTGTATTATTGGATTTCTTCCTGTTGTGCAAGGTTTGGAGCAAGTTTGTTTACCTTTTCAGCACATTGTTCCTGCAATCCTGCAGCATGGAGCCCTCTGTGTCACCTTGGAGTTTCCCCTGGTTTTGTTTCCTCAGCTAAAAATACTTAAATTAGTTTTCTATTGATGTTGATTCGGTTACGTTACTTCAAGTAGCAGAGCACCTATTTCTAGGGCTGCTGTTCTTGCCCTGTGCTGGCGTTATCCAAAGGCACCCGCATTCTGTCTCTTTTGCTTCACCTTAGCCCAGTAACAACCTTTCTAATAAAGCAAAAAAACTTTTAGCTTAAGACATTTCTACTTCGTTTTACAGTGACTACAGCTCCAAAGCGAGGTTTGTAACTCTGGGTTTGGCTGTGCGGTGCCGGCTGCGCTCCCTGCGGGGCTGCTCTTGCTCTGGCGTGTTTCCTGGCCCGATTAGAAGCCGATTGTGAAGAGGCTGTTGTGCAGTGGTGTCACAGCTCTTTGCAGCTGACTTCCCTGAGATTTGGGCCATTAACTCGTTTGGTTGACATGTAAACCATAGAATGGTTTGAGTTGGAAGGGACCTTAATGCTCATCTAGTTCCAAACCCCCCGCCCCGGGCAGGGCCACCTTCCCCCAGCCCAGGTTGCCCAAAGCCCCGTCCAACCTGGCCTTGAGCCCTTCCAGGGAGGTGGAAAAAAATGTGAAGAA